AAAAACAAATGGTTTGTAGGTGCTTTTGGGTAAAGGAATAGTTAGTCTAGTATCCGGTGAGGGCACAGCCAACTCCTTCACACAATAGTAGGTAAGCACTTACCAAAACGTGAGGAGTTTTCAGTGTCCAGACTGACAAACTGAACGTACCAAGCGCTGCTTTCCATTCTCGGTTGACAATGTCTATGGTACTTGAACTGAAGTGGCAAAGAACAGTGACAAAATTATTGTCCTTGATAAGATTTAATGTCATGGGAGACAATGATTTTTCTCAAAGAATGAAAAAGATGCAGGTAAACACTTCTGGGACGAATCCATAACAGTCCAACTGTGAATATGGCTAGCGGGAATTGAGACAGAAGAGAGATGTGAAGCAGGGCTGTGGTCATTACCATTCCTTTGTACCACGTCGGTCTTTGTAATCAAGGCAGTTGTCTGAAGTCTATTGTTACCTGGGCTTGGCCACGGTCGGGACTATGTGCAAGGCCGCGGTCCAACAGCCTAGGGCTGGAGTCGAGCCACGTGACATTCATTATGCGTACCATTTTGTCAGACTTACCTGACAGAAACTTCTTGGCTTCAGAGGTCTATATAGTAAGCGTTTTTGTAACTGAATGCGTCATTCACTCTCGTTCTTGCGTGTCTCCTACATGACACAGTTCGACTGTACGAAACCAGAAAATAAACAGTCTGAAAAGAATTGTTCGCTGCGGAATAACTGCCCAAATAACCGACCGGCATATTCCAAGCACTGAAGATTCCTACCAGTTACACAAACATGGAATTCACTGGTCTGAACGAATAGCTAACCATTAAACTTTATTACAGATGTATGATATATGTGACCTAAACGTGTCTGTAGTCCCAGCCGAGCTAGTCGTCATATGAGGCAACGGACAAAATATGGTTTGAGAAACTACCGGGGAAGACAAGTCCAGAAGTAGCAAAATAAAAGTAAAATTTAGAAAAAAGTGCAACGTCCTTAACATTCCTGTCATTTTGTAATCTGTATCATAAGAAGAACATTGCGGCTCAACAGCCACAGTTCCTAAGTTGAAGGATTTTAAGCACCAAATAGCACATCCATCATGACTAAGCAAGTTTTGCAGAACTGTTTATTTGCAGCTTGGTTGAACCCGACGAGTGAATCAATGAGAAGTGCGAAATTGTCAGTTGGCGCGCTTTTGCAATAACGGCGGCCCTATTGGAATCAAACGACCGTGGAAAATTTGCCATCAATCAAAGAATGTCTTAGAATTGAAGCCGCCCGAAGCAGCATTGTCGAACATTGATGTTGTGCTATCGATGTTACAACCACATCTACGGCCATTAGAAAGTGGTTAAGAGTGGGTAAAAGAAAATTACATGAGGCGATCACAAGGTAATAACAAAGTATGAAATGACTTAAATAAAAGCAGCTGCATTGATAACCTATGTGAATGGATCGAAATATTTCCACAGCGTTGAGCCAAAACAGTTTCAGGTGCAACTCAACCAATCCGAGAAAGTTCAACACCAGCATGATATGCAGCATACGAATGACTAATCCGAAGAAGCTTAACACTAGTGTGGATTGCAACACATGAGTCTATCTCTGCAACTTGATGATTGATACAAATCAGTGCTTTTCGTCGTTTTTACTAGGTAGATGTACGTTCGCGTCAGGAAAGATAGACAATAATTAAACGGGCTGAAGCTTGCTTTTACTAGCCAAAACTGAGCTTCAACGTACGCTGCTCTGAATGTCCCATGGTCTGTTCGTCCCAGGTTCGGAAGATTTGTGTTTGGATCGCGTGGAGTTCTCGGGTTTCCATCAGTGTCCCGCATAAATGCATACAACAAAGATGAGAACCCCTGAAAGTGGAGAGGGTGAGAGGAAACGATAAATACAGAGGAATCAGGTAAGAAGGCACTGGGAAACACAGATGAGCATAACAGTCTTCGGAAACGTCAGCAGGCTTTGTCGCGAACCAGAGTATATAAATCAACGTTT